CAGATACCATCGATCGGAGATCCTAGCCACCATCCTCAATGAGTACACGGACTGGGAGAGGCCCGTGCAGCACCCCGTCAACCTCCGTGACGAGACTCTGGAGGCGCTGTCCGACGCGCAGGTCGTGGCGCCTGTCGTACTCACGGCTGACGTGCATTCCAATACAGCCAGCAACAAGACTTTCCTTTATGTGTTCGACTACCAGACCAAATATGGTGACTACCAGCAGGTGAGTGGAGCCAATTTTAAGTACGTTTTGGTCCCGTTACTAGTGCGAGCTCCCCAAGGGTACGTAGCGGTTCGCGTCTTGGGATACAGTTAGTATCTTGCGGATGATCAAAAAAATTGGTTATTTTTCGCCTACAATCATTTATTAACTTTGAAGATGTGGAAGGACGCCTCCACTAAAGTCAGCGTTCCCACGCCAAGTGTAAGTTCGGTGACGCTGGCACCGTAAAGAGTGAACATATGTTCCTCCGATTCGTTCTATGATCGTGCGGCAAAGTACATTGTAAAAAAACTGTCGTATTCGACAGCTAGGCGCCTGCGAGACTCGAGGTAGGCCATCCCGCAGTGCACACATGCATCGAAGGCAAGATGTTGCCTACCTATCAGGCGCTATAAGACCTTGCACTGTTAAATACCTCCAAAGCAATGCTTTGCAGAACTGCAAATTATTTAGATCCTATGTAATTTCGACGCATTTACTTTGCAATTACAAAGTGGTGCATTGCTATTGCGAACCAGTAAAATAGGCTGCAAAGCGTGACTTTGTACTCGCAGAGCAGCACTTTGTAATTGCAAAGTAAATGCTTCGCACTTATAAATGATCTAAATACTTCGCAGTTCTGCAAGTCATTGCTTTGCAGGGATCTGACAGATTGAATTGGATTAACTGGACAGTTAGAGAAGTTAGAGATCAATTTTATTCCTTAACAGTAAATTTATTTTGTTTTCACGTCTCCCTTGTTCGTTTTCGGGGCACATAACTTAAATGCGTGCAATAAGTGCAATAATTAGCGTAAATCGTATTCTTTTAAATTAACAAACGCATTTCGTTGACGTATATTTAATTCAAAAAAACTGAATGTTCGTCAAAACTAGCAGACGACTAAGATGGCTCAGTGAGAAACAATCATATGAACTACGACATCGATGAAAACGACTCTTGTCAAATGCAGCAAAATCCAATTGGCCAGCTATGTCAGGAGTGGAGTGAGTCTACTCCCTACCGTCCACCTGGAGCTAAGTTTGTTTTGGTGGTTACCGAACTGTATCTGTCGTCCCGTATTTAAGTGTAATCGCCACCCCCCGAGTTTGGAACTCGTTCACTTCTCTTTAATAAGCAACCTGCATTAATTGTCTTCTGCTCCCTGCCTTTATCGCGCCCCAAAACGCGAATGTCATTCTGCTGCGAAACTTTTAATTGGAATAAGTAATGGGGGCGATAATGAATGAGGGGTTGTGAGGGGCGGGGGTGACCTTTGACCGGGCCCTGCGATGGCCACTGCTGCAGTGCTACCAAAAGCAGGGAGCGCCCCCTTCCCTCGGGTAGAAAAATCTGAACATACCCCTACCCCATTACTCCCTCCCCTGCCAGGGAAGAAGTGCCTGGGGGCGAGTAAGACTCTGGCTGTGCCGGTCTGGACGCCGCAATGGCCGGGGGCAGTTTGGAAATCCAATCCAGAAGCTATGCAACTACTTCTCTGGCCTATCTCGGTTCGGGCGCTCCGACGCGACGTGCTCTTCGGCGTGTTGCGGATCTGCAGCGTGGCGTGGCTTGGCTTGGCGTGGCGTGGCGTAGCGTGGCGTGGCGTAGCGTAGCGTGGCATGGCGTGGCGTAGCGTAGTCTGCTACTACGTTGCGTGCCCCGTGGCGCGGACCAGCACGACGCGGTTGCGGTCGTGGCCTTTGTAGCCGTAGTGATGGAATTTCCAAGTCCATTGTGACGACGGGGAAGGCTTAAATTGAAGCGCGTCGAGTTGCGTTGGCCTCCGTCTTTCCACTTTCGGGGCGGCTCGCCCCGCCACGCCGCTTCAAATTAACGCTGCCTGGAGTGCCGAGGGCCTGACTGGTGGCCAGCCTCCAAATAACTATTATGACTTTTGCATTATCACGAACTTGGGAGGGGAACGCCAAAGAGGTGCTAGCGTTTTCGTTGCGGGAGCTGTGTACTACCCCATAGAAATATCCTTGTCTGCAGCCTGAGCTATTAACTCGAAACAAGGAGACCAGGGTCACTCCAAATCTCCAAAATGATAATGGTAACGTTTAGACCACTATTACAATTTGCACTATGTTTCTATCGTTTAAACCATTTAAACTTAAATATTAACATTAATAATTATTATTAATAATTATTTTCCCGCTGAATCTGAATTGGGTTTGTCGGCCTCAGGTAGCGTCGACCGCTAGTAAAAGGTCTACCGCGCCGACAAAGAGGGGCGTTGGGTTTGCGCAAGGAGATTGCGGTCCATACAGGCGCCAGTTTTCCGGATACAGCGGGGCGGCCGCTCTGATGTTCGTTAAACGGACCTCCTCCCGTGGAGCACACACCGCGCGGCGAGTACACAGCGGTCCGACTCTCGTCACAAAGTGAGTGGCTCTGCCGGGCCGTGCGCTATAAATCGTGTCGGCTGAGAGCCATTACCGTTGCACAGCAGTGTGTGTGTGTGTGAGAGAGAGAAAGAGAGATGGAGTGGGGGAGGGAGGGTACGTTACGGCCGCGTGTGTGTGTACAGGGTGCAGGAGGCCCCTCCCCTGCTCAAACTCAAAGTTCAAGACGCTGTGGTTGCATCACCCGCTTAACCCCTTGCTCGCAGCCAGGCCCGACCCCATCCACACCCCCTTCTCTACCGTTTCGCAACGTTCGCGCCTGTAGCAGCACGAAATTCTCAAAGTCTGCATTGAACATCTTCCTGTGTTGATTTTCTTCAAAAACTAGAGAGAATGGGATCTGAAATAAAGTATACGCGTTTTGATGCGCGAGTAAACTTTCCCACCACAGTAGTATTCTAAGCTTGATGGACATTGGTGGTGCTTTTCAGACACCCTAACTTCATGACGAGAGTTGTGTTGCTCCAAGCCCAATATTTGAAGCTACTTATTGAGTTCCAAGAACTATCATGTGTTGAACCAAGAGACTTATCTCTTGGTTGAAGCGGTTCGAAGGGAGGTCATTAACCGTATAACAGCCTAGTATACTCCCCCTCTTTATTCTGGAGACAAAGTCAGTTTAACATGGCGAGACATTCTATTACATGACATTGCTTTTGTAATTTGTAAAAACTGATCTAAACTCTGGTATGCGTTTTTAATACACAATTTCAAATATTTTTTTATATTTTCATGCCTTATTTTTATTTGGGGGAGCTGTACACCTTTCATAGTTTTTTGTTGTATCAGTGTACGTGAGTCGGCCCCTGCTCTCCGTGGCGGCGGGCAACTTTGCTGCTTTGGCCGGAGAAGAGGGAGGGAGGAGGCACGTGTATGACGTAAACACCACAAGTTTGCCTAAACTTGTGGTGTGCGGAGCGTAAGAAGTTGAGCCCAGAGCATGACTCTTTCCTCGTCTCTTGAGTCCAACTGGAGCGTAGCGCCGTGTGGAGAAGCATGACACGCGTTGTGTGTCCCCCTCGTGCGTGCTTCCGGACTACGTGTGTGTTATGTATTAACGTATGTGTGAATCGTATGGCAGAGAGGGAGGGTGAGAGGCAAGCTAGATGTCGCGCGCGTGTTTCTGTTTGACTAATGTTTTAGAAGTGGTGGCCCGAGGACCATACTTTGCTCGCCCGCCCCCTCTGCCTTGTTGTGAGAGTCCTCTCGTCTGTTTCAGCGCCAGGGCTGTATCCACGGCGAGGACCTTGCCTACGTATTAGGTGCGCCGCTCTCGGCTGGATTACGGCACTCCCACCTGCCCAGGAACTTCACCAAGTCTGAGGCAATGCTGTCCGAGGCCACCATGAACTATTGGATCAACTTTGCTCGCACGGGGTGAGTAGAAAACGTCTCATGTCTTTTACTGTAAATGAAAAAGAAATGCCACCACACATCGTAGTACTCATGTTGTTAATGGCGGTGCTTTCGTTTCAAAGGGAAAATAAGCCTTTTATTGGGTGTTCAAATTTCAGCGAAGTTTTATGAACATATAGACTGTTATTTTTTTTAAAAAAAGCTGGAAATGAGTTTATAATAAATTTTATTAGTGAACCTCTCGTTTTTTCTTTTTGCGAGATTTGCTACGTTGCGCTTCGAGAATTTGACCAACAAGTATTACCTTTGCTATGTTTCTTCCTTATGCAGGGTGGTCCACAGACCCCTTCCTTTATTTTGCTTATACTGTACCGGATGCAGGCGTGGACGGTTGCATACTCGCACGGGGCCGTAAGGTGAGCGACAGTAGGCAAGCTCGTCCGCACACCTGCGTCCGGTACAGTATAAGCAAAATAAAGGAAGGGGTCTATGGACTACCCTGCACTTTCTAGCGCGTCACGCGCTGCCCACTATACGAGCAGACACCCGCTCGGGCAGTCTGTCGGTAATTTTCCCAGCTCACCTGCAGTTGTTGCCGTTGGCCTTGGGGGAAATCAGTGGGTTAGCGTCCCAGCGGTCTGATCCACCGCTGCCAACGAGACGCAGTCTCGGGCCAAAACGAAATGAAAATAATAGGATGTAGGATGTGCGTGTGAGGGTGGGGGGTGTGGTGGTGTGCTTTGCCGGAGTTTAACACCGCAAGAATGAAAGAATGTGTGGCTTCGTGTTTTGTTCAGCTGGAAAGTGGGAACGGGCCGAGGGGTACACCACTCTTAAAAGTAGGTGTAGGGGAGAGTGGGGCACATTGGTCCATGGGGCACATTGGTCCACCATCAAGTTCCACGAGGATAGAGCAATCGCAGTGACCTGACTCACACTATAGAAGAAGCCATTACCACCCTGACTGATTTTCTGGAAGGTTTGACAAAGTTCACTGGCAACCATCGGATTTGCGAGGGGTTAA